TAAAACCTTGAGGTTTCTCAAAGTGTTTTCCCAGAATGCTTATAAAAAGAATCCCTAGGGAACTAGATATTAGCATTTTCTAGATGGGACCTGGAGCCTGTGTGCACCCTTGCCCACCACTGTGGCCTCTGCTGAGGAATTTGGGCCTGATTCAACCCCTATGCCCCACTGCACTGCTCCCAGTGGCCCTGGCAGAGGCCTGGACATTGCATACTCAAACACTATCCCTGTCCTGGGGTGCCAGGACAGCTCAGCACCAACATCTGGCAGCCAGTCAGGGAAACACTGTTTGTGGCCACTGCTACCCAAAACTCCCAACAGCTGGCCAGCTTTTAAGAGCTTAATCCCCCAGGTAGTGATGTATGCACTACAATAAGCCAGCCCAGAGTCACACATGCAGTGTGCCCCAGGTTGCTGTTCCTGAGCCCTGGGCAGGTCCTGGGCACAAAGCATGATGTGGGCATGTTCCCTTACCCTGTTTAATCCTAGAAACCCCTGAAGGGAAGGCTTTTATGTCAGAGGTACTGTAAAGACGACCTCAACAGTCCCACCACTGCCAGCGAGGTGAGCACACATCAGCTGGTCAAACCAATTCCTGAATCTGCTTTCCGCATCAAGAAATCTGACCAGTCAGCCAGTCATAGTGGTGCAAGTCTATAACCTCAACACTGAGAGGAGTACCACAAATTGGAGCCCAGATTGGGCAGTTTAGCAACATATCAAGACCCAGTCTCAAAATTAAAAAGCATCTGGAGCCACAGCTCAACACAAAGACTTGGGGTTCCGTCACTAGCATGGGGAGGTGGGAGAAGAAGAGAAAGAAAGGAAGGATGAAATCTGATCAGAAACTGGTTTTTACCTGCTATTACCTAATTTCCCACCACAGAAACAGGACCACAAACCTTCTCACTGCCTTCTAGGTGTGCTTTCCCAGTAGGTGATGTCTTCTGAGTCCTGGCAGCATGGGGGGACCTGAAGGCTGGGATCCCCCAGGGTGCCCAGGATGTCTGCGTGCAATCCTAGCCTCTATGCATCAGCTGTGGGACCTGCAAGAAGTGGCTTCACTACCCTGAACCTCAGGGTCTGGATCTGGTTTTGTCTCTCCTTGGGGTTTAGGGGACTTAAGACAGCAAGAGCTTACCACGGGGATACCTGCTGAGAATCCCAGATAGTCTGGAGAGGAGGTTGTGGCAGGAGGACCACATATTCAAGAGCAACTGAGACCCTATCTCAGAAAGTGAAAGAAAGAAAGAACGCATGCACGCATGCAGAGAAAGCAGAACGTCCGTATCCTAACTGCTGACTCTGTTATTATTACACCTGCTGGTGGTGCTTTTCCTGCCTTGAAACCAAGACTACATCATTTCTGCCAAAGGCACCCATTCCAAGAATGCAGTCAAACAACCCAGACCTCGTCCAGATGTTTGTATGTTCCCTGCTGAACACACTGGGGGCACTCGCTGTGTTTCGCAGCCAGCACCCAACAAACATTTCTGTCACAACCCTTGGGCACCTGCACTAGCTGCTCTGGCACTTCTCTTTGTCCCCACCAGCCTGGACATTCCCAGGGGCAGCAAGCTGCACTGACTCCCAGCCTGGCACAGAGCAGCAGGTCCTTCGGTGATGACCTTGAACTCATTTTGATGCACTATGTGGAGGAAGCCCCAGATCAGCTGTGCCAGCAGAGAATGGCAGATCTCAGCTCTACAGCTACAATGCTACACCAAAGTCACAGGGTCTGGAGTCAAGGGAAAGGGTCTCAATCTGTTCACAGTCTTTCAGTGAGTGGCTCATTCATTCAGAACCCAGAAGAAGAGCCTGGGGACTCCGAAGGTGAACATGACAGACCTGTGCAGAGTTTTCCTTTCTCTGCTTCCCAAACTCCCTGGCGATCAAAGGAGAGAGTTTCAGGAAATTAGTGAGGTCACCTGGATGAAGGAGTCCAAAGCATACATCATACAGGTTTACAGTGGTTAAAGATAACCAGGGCTTCATGACAAGGCTGTGTGTGTAGATTCTCTCTGGTCATGCCCTCCTGGATGCCCTCAGAGCCACTCAGGCTCAGAAGGAGGCTCTGCCTGCCCAGTAAGGAGACCTTAGGAGTCGGACTGTCCACAGCTCCTGCAGGACTCCAAACATATCCCTAAGCCCCACAGGACCCGCTTTGGCCTCCAGGCATCTGCACACATAGATCCCACAGCACTGTGCCCCACTTTGGACAAATCCCCATTATCCATGGGAACCCACAGGAACCCCAGAAATCCATCTCTTAGGACTCCATTACATATTCAGAAATAAAGCAAGCATGCTAAGGAACTGTTTTTCTACAAAAGTCCACTCTGTGGAGCGTTTTGTGTCTGGGCCCACTTCTGGCCTAGTCTCAGTTTCCCTCCCCTCCTCAACACTCTGAAGAAATATGAAGTGCAATGTCAGCTTGCAGTTCTCTCACCTTCCTCTGGTCAGATTTCCTCTCATCTGAATCCAGCCTCAATAATCCTGCCTCCTAGATATCCACCTCCCACCCTCTCAGGCCCTGGACCAAGTCCCCTGAACTTGATAGAGGCTCCAAGACACCAGCAGGGGGCACACTCACAATCTGGAGCAGCCGCTGAACAAGCCTAGAAACATCTGGGAACTTCTCAGAATGAACAGGGCTTCCTAAAGCAAAAGGTGCTGGAGACAGGCAGAGATTCCCTTTCCCTGCTGGCAGATCTAAACTTGTTAAAAGCAGCCAACGGCTGTCAACAGGGTCCCCAGGGACGTGCCTTTGAAAGCCAAAATCATCTTGTGCATAAAGAGCTCCTTTGACACCTGAATCCCAGCCTCCTGCACAGAGGCCCAGAGAATGAACCAGCTCTCCACCCGTTTCCTCCTCCTTGGAAGTTTTCCTAGTATGATAATGAAATTCGTTCCCTTTCCTTGAGAACATTGCTTCCGGAAGTCCTAACATTCAGCCACTATTACGACAGCCTCTTTTGGACAGATTCAAGGGTCTCTGGAACCTTCTTTAAGGATACTAACTTCTGGGATAAAAACCCACAGCTACCACCTAACCCTCCTTAAAACAGAAACGTGCACTACCCCTGCCTTAATTAGCACAAAGCTCCCTCCACTCTCACTGCCCAGGTAATAGAAGATTCACTGCTTTGATTACAGGTAACCTTGCTGCGACCTACAAGTGGTTGGAAAACTCAGGCTTCCAAATGTAAGAGCCCGTGGACATCCCATTACACCCCCTCCCCACCAGCGCGCAGTAGGAGGTGCCCACTATTACTGAACGTGGACAGCAAGGGACCTGGCTGGATCCACGATGACTTCTGCTAGATCCCTAGCCAGCAGAAACTCCCTGGTAGGTGGGCCCAGGTTGAGGGTCGAATTCCAGGTAGAGGTCAAACCACCATCCCCTGTGGGCTTCCAAAATTACCTCCTTGCTTCCAGGAGCTCTGTTTAATTAGCTAATTGACCTCGTTTAATGTTCAAACTTTACTTTGGAAGAGAAGCAGGTCACACACCTATTCAATTTACTACCTCGAATTTCCACGTGGAAACCACTACAGTATTTTCGGATGACCTCGGAGGGCTTCCAGAAGCACACTCTGCCCGCAGCCATCGCCCCCCACATAATCTGGCCTAACCCTCGACCCGCGGGCCCAAGCACCTCCTCAGATCAAGCTGCCCGGAGTCCCTTTTAAAAGCTCTGCTGCCGAAACGCAGATTCAGTACAACCATTTCTCTGCCTCTCTGGGCGCCCCCCACACCCCCAGAAAACAAGAATCTTGCCTGCACGTCTACCCACCCAGAACAGGAGGTCCATGAGCAGATCCGCGGGAGAGAGCCACGCCTCGACTCCGGGACCCGGGTGGCGAGGTCCACTGACGACCCCTTTGCCTTCTACACCCAGACAGCGAGATCCACCCTGATCCTGGAATTCGGAGGTGAGGTCTACAGCGACCCCCGGAGCCTGGCGGCGAGATCCAGTGCAAGCCCCACACCCGCGGCTCCCAGGATAAATCAACGCGTGTATCGCAGGGGTCGCACCTGCTGGCTCAGTCTTCCGCCCCAGTCCATGGGGCGAGTGCGAGGTCTGCGTCTCCGGAAGCGCTCCCGGCGCTAGGCGCACCTGGGCTGCCCCGTGGAAGCGCCTGGGCTGCAGGCGCGCAGGCGGAGCTGCCCGCCGCGGGGGAGGAGGGATGCCCGGGCGAAAGTTGCCAGGGAAACTTGAGCAACTCGAGCGCGCCGGTGCCAACCTTCTGCATAATTCACAGGCGATGGCGGCCGGACACGGGGGCCTTTCCCCTGCGCCCGCCGGGTCCCCACACCCCTGCAGGAGAGCGTGACGGCAGGGGTCGGGCACCCGGCGGGAGCTCCGACGGACCCCGGAGATTGCGGCGCCAGACCCGCTAGCACCCTCCAGGCACACGAAGTGCAGGCACCGGCTCCCCGGACCCGGCTGCTGCAGTTCCGCACGCGAAGCTGATGGGGCTGTGGTGACAGCAGCAGGGTCTCCAGGGACTTTGCACCGTGGCAGGGTCTGCGCCCCCTGGCGGCCCCGCGCCCGCTCCTCCTCCAGGTTTGCTGGCCCACGTCTGCGAGAAGCCGGCGGCAACCTACTGCAAGCCGACCCCAGCGAGGGGCGGAGGCTGATCTCTGTGCTATCCCAGGGGAAGGGGCAGGAAGAACTAGAGGTGCAGGGGACAAAAAGGGTGCTCCTGCACTGTGTGCCCATACCTCTCCCAAAGCTTTAAAACCCCGTCTTTGCCCCGTAGGAAAGCCGTGGGGGTTGGGTGTCTCCTCAGAAAAGCGAGCCCCACCTGGTCGCGCACATCGTCTCCCCAACCCCCGCCCCCAGCTTCTACGAGTCCTGCTTACCAGATAGTTAGTGCTCCTGGAATCAAGACGCACCCAAAATGGCTTAGCGAGCAAGGCTGGGTACCTAGGGGCACCTACTGTCCTTTGCAGCCCGTGCCCGTGGCGCCCTGCGCCCCCAGCCTCGGTCTCACCTTCTCGCAAGGCAGCTCACGAGTTGGGGGCGGGCCGGAGCCCCAGCCTAGGGCCGGCGTCCGTGCTCACCTAGCTCGGCCGGGGGGACCCGAGCGCGGGAGCCGCGGCAGCCGCCGCCGCCGCGGCTCAGGTGTCGGGAAAGGAGCGCCGCGGCCCCGCCCCGTGCGGCAGCCCGCGACCCGGGGCTCCCCGGTGGGGAGGTCCCGGTGCCAGGCAGGGTGGGGGAGGGTCCTCTCGCTGGCTGAGGATCCACGCCGCCCCCCCGCCGCCGTCCCACCTGCCCCGGCGCTCCCGCTTGGCTAGCGGGGTCTGTTGTAGCAACCCCTGGAGACGCCAGGCGCCCAGAGCCGCCCCGCCCCGCCGCGGGCTGCGTGGCTCGCGAACCCCCTCCCCCAACAGCCCAGCGGAGCAGAAAGTCCCTTCATATTGTAAAGCCCGGCTCATTCTGTATGATTATCTGGAACGCGGCCGGCTCCCACCCTGGAAGATTTTAATAGGATTCGGAAGCAGAGCCCGAGTACACAGGAAGCGTTAGCAGAGCAAGTAAAAACTTTACACCTGGGCAGCTAACTCTCTGGCTGCTGCTTCCAGGCCTCTCGGGCTGGGTGCCTTCTGCCTAGGGGCAGAGAGACCGGTCTCCAAGTGCCCCGCCAGCCATGGACAGGCCGGGTGGGAGTGGGAGAGAAGAGCCACTGCTCAGAGGAATCCTAGAGGCCAAGCAGCACCCTATGGAGTCGCCCAGGGATCCTATTTTACCAAGGGCTCCGGAACTGCTGGCCTTGCCAACGCCTGAGGAAGCCTGTCAGGAGCCTCTGCCCCCAGCTCGGAACCCTGGCAAGGTGCCCAGTCCCTGTGTGCACGTGGGTTAGAACTCCAGACGCTAAATTCATTACTAACTCCACGCCGTAGGAGCTGGGTATCCATCTAAGTAAACTATTGAGGCCTCCGCGTCCTGTTTCTCGATAATCTGGAAAGGTGGCTATATCATGCCCCGCAGGATCTTCAGTCTTAGGGTTGTGAGCTGGGGTGAGAGGTCTCTCACGAGCATCCAATCTTGAACGCTAACGCTAGGCGAAATCATCTGGACCCCCCCCCCCGCACAAAGAATGAATATATGCATGTATTGTATTTTTAAGTCACGCTTATAGGACATGCCTGAGAGATTTGCATGTGCTGGTGGCTTCAACATACCAAAAGCAAAGTTAAATATTTGCTCTAGATATATTTTTTTTTTTTTGGCTTGCATAATTGTCCCATATTTCAAAGAAGTCTTTACAAGCGCTGAAGTTAGAAAGAAAAAAAAAAGATCGTGTTTGGGGCCTGAATATTTCAGGACATACAAGGAGTAAATACTATAATTCCTTGAGGGAGTTCCTAGCAGCAAACTTCTTTATCTCTTCTGCTTCCTTAAGCATGAGTCTTGATAAAATATTTGTGGAATGAATAAAGAAGGCATTTCATCAAATGCTCATAATCTCTAAATCAGGAAGAAAAAAGCTTAGCGGGATCTCACAGGCTACTGGGAGAGGTGGTCAGCCAGCATTCTGATGTGCTTGGGTTTGCCAAAACAAAGTTGAGGTGTGGGTGGAAGGTGTGGGCTCCACCTCCCCATAACTTGGTCAGCCCCCACCCTAGAGAAAATATATCATCTAAGTGAATGTGGTTCATCTGCCAACCTGGCCCCTTCTTGTGGTACTACCCTTTTGCCACCAGATCCCCTCCCCTGTCCCAAGTGTCTAGAGACATGGCTGCCCACAGCAAGGAAAGTGGCCTGGTGGAATTCATTTGGGAGCAGGTTGTGCTTTCCCACAAAAGGCAAGAAAGCCAGAACCTTGCTGCTGCCATCAATAAATACTTTCCTGGGAAACCAGACCTCAGCCAGCCTGTCCATCCAAGGGATACCCCTGGACTACCCCCTCCACTGCCTCCACCCTGTTTGTTGTCCAGCAGGAGCAGACAGTGATGAGAACCCATTGCTTGACATTTAAGGACAAGATCCTGCCTACGTCCCAGTTTCTTTGTGTCTGTTTAGAGCTATCCAGTCCAGCCTTGTACAAAGTTACAAGGTTTAAGCCATATCCTTTGAGTCTGTAACAACTTCATACATAGAGAGTGAGTCAAGGCCAGGTCACGTTGTGACAGGTACTTACTTACCCTGACCTAAGGCCCCAAGAAGTAGAAGTGTTTCAGGTTAGGGGAGAACTCGCCTCTACCCCAGCCTTGAGCTTCATTGAGTCATTGCTGATGTGAGACAGCCTCATTCAGAATTCTCATTTCTCGTGGCCCTGCCACTATACACATCACTGAGCGCCTCAGGTTTTTGTTGTTGTTGTTTGTTTCAGTTTAAGAAATGTAGAAATTGCTCTTTTTGCTTCTATTTTGGTGAGCTGTCTTCTCTAGTTTCCTCCCATAGATGATGATGTGGAAGAGGAGGCTGAGTGATACGTGCAGAAGGAGGTCACGATGTCCAGGGAACAATTTTTCCTCTTTTCTTGTAGATCCTAAAAACTGCAGCTATTAGTTACAATGTTTATGGACTGTACGCTAGGACTTCTCAGAAAGAGGAGCCATTTCAGGGAGAGCTCAAAACTGGGACATCGTATGGCGGGGGGGGGGATATACAAACCATAACCCCCTTTTCTGTCCTGGGAAAAACACGGTAAGTATTTTGTGACTTAGATTGATTACGATGTTCAGCGCATTCAGTAGCAGTTCCTGCCCCTGTGTGGCTTGTGCCTAGAAGCTCCTGGGCTCAGGGCTCCTCACGGAGGCTGGCACTTCTTCAGACACAGGTTCTCAGATTGCCGGAGCTGCTGTGACCTAACTTAGCGCCTCCGCTTACACGTGAGAAGCTAGGGTCTAAGCAAGGGAAGAGACTTGTCCGGTGACATGAAGTCAGTCCAGGTAAGAAGTCAGGCATGCATGGGTGAAGCCAGGTAGAGGCAGACATGCACTGGTAAAAGTGTATGTTCCAGCCAGCAAGTCTACCTACCCCCCATTCCCCAGTCTCTACCATATTCGTCTATGCTTTTATAATTTTTTCAGCTTGCTTACCATTATAGCAAGAAGGGCTACTTCCTTCTTGTTCCTCCACATTGAATAGTGGAAAATGCACTCATTTCTCCATAATTTCATGACAATTTCTAGCTCAGTCACATAGACCTGTTAGTGCAAATACTCCCAGAGTTTGCAAATCCCCAAATCCTCTGCAGATATGCCTCCGTGTTTCATCTCTGTGTCTCACGCGGACGTTTATTACTCTCCACTAATTTTCCATGAGCTTATTTTCCATAGATTTGCTCTGAAAAGCCTTGTGGCACTTTGTCTGAATGTGAGGACCCAGGGACTGTAACTAGGGGAGTGGAGAGATGGTTGCCTTCTCCCAGAACCAGAGAAGAGAAGAGAAGAGAAGAGAAGAGAAGAGAAGAGAAGAGAAGAGAAGAGAAGAGAAGAGAAGAGAAGAGAAGAGGGCTCTTCTGCAGCTTTTCCCAGAGGATGCAGGGAGCGGCATGCTGGATAGAGGGGTGGCTGGGCTTCCATTGAAGATGCAGCCATTTCTCTGTCCCTCCAGTACACTCTGTCTTTCTGCCTCTTTCCAGGATAAAACCCAGGCGTCCTGCTGGTGCGAGTCAGCCTGAATGTGGAGGTGCTGTCTCAGGAGCAGATTTCTGTCCCTGAGGAAGCAGAACAGAGGGCCGAGGGCAGATGCCTGGCCCTGCCCAGCAGGCCAACTGTCCTACAGAGGGGCATCCTGTGTCTCCTCAGAGACACCTATGGAGCTAACATCAGAGAGCTAGACAAGACATTATTTGGGGAATCCCTTTCCCTGTGTCCCCTACTCCCTCAGGGCCCTCTCCTAAAGTCACCTTTCATATATAGCAACCTGCAATCAAGTTTTTACTTAGGTAAGGCTTTCAGAGGATGTCAAAACAACATAAAAATGATCTTTTGCTTTGGCATGAAGCCATGGATCAGACACCTACAGTGCCCTCCCGAGGGCGCAAGAATTAAGACTGAAGGAGCTTCACAGAAGCAAAAGGTTTCAGCTGGTGGGAAGCCAATTGAGCAATGTGATGTTCTCATTGGAAAGGGACCACACTAGAGGTTCCCACGGCCAACAAATAATCCAAGCCTTTCAAATTATCAGCAGAAGGAATGCAACACAATACGTTTCACAGAAACAATATACATGACTAAATGAGGTTTATTTTAATAATGTTAAGAGTTTTTCAATATTAACAAACCATTAAGTGGGGGGGGGGCTGGAGATTGAACCCGGAGTACAGCATAACTGGACATGCTGGGCAAGTGCTCTGCCTTTGAGCTATATAGCTCCGGCTCAGCCCATGCGTGATCCAACAATATTGCTTAGTGAAAAAGGAATCATTTGAAAGCATTTTGATATTATTCAATTTTACATATAAAGCCACAGGCAGCAGCATGTTTAGATATTAACACTAAGTCCCTTTCATGCAGTTCAGGAATGAGAAACAGGAGCTGGTAACGTTACCAGTACTTGCCATTTCTGCAAAGAACCAGCCAATGCAATCAAACAAGACAATTTAATAAGAAACTTACGTATTGGAAGCTAAAAGGCAGACTTGCCATTTGGGGAGGTGCTGTGATTTTTCTCTACAAAGAAAAAGAAATCACAGACACTGAAATCTTATGGAAGAGAAAGCCTACCAAGTCAGGAGCCTTTCTATTTATGAGCAAATAACCAGTTGGGAAAACAGAGGAAGGTGAAACCATTCTTGGAACCAATAGTACAAAAGGAAAAAAAGTGCCAACACAAACTTGGTTAACTCTTCAGGAGGCAGGAAACACCCTGAAATGTCTACCGAGGAAAAGGAAGACAAGCAAGGTAAACAAAAACTTTGCCTGAAGATTAGAAAAAGTGCAAGGAAAAGCTAAAGAAAGAAAGGAAAGAGGTCTTCCCTGTGCCGAGAACCTGCCACACACACTACCAGGAGGCCATGAAAACAGGCACAGGGTGGTGGAGGAATGGGCCTCCTGATTGCCTGCATAGGACACCCAACCATAGTCACTTTCCTTTAGGTCGGCCCCAGGCTCTGCTCTCTGCGTCTCCCACATTCACACAGCCTC